TCCACAACAATAAGAAGCTTGATACAAACTCAGTTAGCAATTTATGTTCTCAAATTGCATCAACCATGGTGGCTAAGACATTATCCCTCTCCCCTTCAACCTAGCAAAAATGAAATCCAACAAAAATAGTGCCCTCCACCAGACATTCACACTAATTAGGCATCCAACTAATACACACATAGCCCGCTTTTCCCCTGATCCTCAAGCTCTCACCATTCCTCCACTCTGTCTTTGCTTTGGGTTTGGTAGACATCATTGTTTTACAGGGCTTCAGACATGAAGCAAACCATATTACTACCATCTCTTTATTCCAAAGTATAAAAGTGCTTGTTGTGGTAACTTCTGATTGAAAAACAAAACAATACTCTCACTTTTTACTGTACCAATTTGTTGTTGTTAGCTGCCATCGAGTCAGTACCAACTCATAGCAATCCTATGCACAACAGAATGAAACACTGCCCGATCCTGGGTTAACCTCACAACTGCTGCCACAGTCGAACCCATTGATGCTGCAGGCCACTTGGCCAATTCATCTTGCTGGAGGTCTTCCTCTTTTTCTCTGACCCCCACCTTACCAAACATGATATCCTTCTCCAGCAACTGGTCCCTCCTGACAATATGTCCGAAGTATGAGAGATGAAGTTTGGCCACCTTGGCCTCCAAGGAGCACTCTGGCTGCACTTTCAACACAGATCTGTTGGTTCTTTTGGTAGCCCATGGCACTTTTAATATTCTCCTCCAATACCACAACTCAAAACCATCAATTCTTCTATGTTCTTCCTTATTCACTGTCCAGCTTTTGCATGCATATGAGGTTACTGAAAATACCATGGCTTGGGTCAGGCACACCTTAGTCTTCAAGATGACATCTTTGCTCTTCAACACTTTAAAAAAGGTCTTGTGCAGCAGATTTGCCTAATGCAATACACCATTTGATTTCTTGACTGTTGCTTCCATGAGTGTTGATAGTTGATCCAAAAAGAATACAGTTCTTGATAACTTCAATCTTTTCTCCATTGATAAGAATGTTGTTTATTGGTCCAGTGGTGAGGATTTTTATTTCCTTTATATTGACATGCAATCCATATCGAAGGCTGTGGTCTTTGATCTTCATCAGTAAGTATTTTAAGTCCTCTTCACTTTCAGCAAGCAAGGTTGTATCATCTGCGTTTGCAGGTTTTAGTCCAGTTTATATGTTAAAAGAATCATGTAATGTTAAAAGAATGTATGTACAGTAGCATAATTCTGTAGTATATAGAAGTTGATTGAATTTTATTCATTAGATGAATACACTGTATGGTGTGTTTTTAAAAATGCTATTTTTTAAGCCATGCCTTTCCCCTTCTTAGATTCTGTGCACATTGTCCTTGCTGGACAGATCTGTAAACATGTGTGGTAGAACCCTCTTGGGGTAAAGAGGTGTTCACTTGCTCAGGAACCCCCTCTAGTCACCAGAGTGGAGACTAGACAGATAGTGAGAGATCAATGAACAGAGAAGAAAAGAAAACGAATGTCCACACCTTTATCTCCGAGGATCAGTCAGACCGCTGTGATGGAAGTGCTCCTCAAAAAAAAATGCTATTTTGTAAAAGTGCATGTAATGCAATCGAGAAACTGAGGGTGACGGGGCTTGGGTTTCTCACAACAAAGAAGGAAGTTATAAATATAGAAAGGGGAATGCCCAGAATAACCCTGTGGTATTGTGATTAGACCAGAGGTATATATACATACACTAAATATAGAAACAGACATAGCTGTATGCATATGTATATATACACATTCTTAGCTTGTCTGTTGATTGGTCCTAGAAGCACTAATAGCACTAAACACACCTAATGCCAGAGCCTAGCTGCTAAGTATCATTCTCCGATAAAACCAGGCTTCTTAGAGGTATGGTATGGGGAAGAAAATACATATGATAAGTCTAGAGCATCTTTTAATATCAGAGAGTAAAGAAGTCCTCAAAACAGGATAGAAGCGTATCAAAATGACATGAAGCATAAAGTGGTTCCCACTGGTCACAAATGGATAATGAGCCCATCCATATATGTAAACAAATGAATGTACTTTCTATCTTAGCCAAAAATTGAATTAAATGACAGTGCAATTTTTCCATGAACTTTTGGAAGCCAACTCATAATATACAATGTAGTAGATGCAATGAAAGAAGCGAAGAAAACTAAAGAAATCTGGTTATCAAGACAGAAAATTAAGACTAGAAGGAGATGTTTCCTTTAAAGGTTAAGTCTTTAAGGAAGAACTACCCAAACGAAGTAAAAGAAATATTTCCAAATAATAACAGGAACTGAAAAGTATGAACCACAAATATTCAACATTGAAGTATGAAGCACAAAACAGAGAGCTTCTCAGCCAGTGGACTGAGAAAGGCTGTGTGTCTGCAGGTAGGAGGCTGGTTTGCAAAATGTGCCTTTTGAACATTTACATGAATATATATTTTTTGTTTTGTCTGTGTACAAATATTTTTGCTTTGTTATTTGTGATGAATAAGATGTAAAAGGGAAACCACAGAATGGGAAGAGGATAAATGCTGTTACAGGGAGGAGACTGTAATCACTGACATGAAACAAAACGTTTGATTGATTCAAACTAAGGCTGATGGATCTTGTTTGTTTACTTTCACTCAATTCACAATAAAAAGTTAAGAAAGAAAGAGAGTGATAGAGATGAGGATAGAGTTAAACAAGAGCTAGAGTATAAAGACTATCAGCCATGTTAAGGAACTTACAAAGAGTTCCTGGTGTGGCACTGCAGGGTAAGTACTGGACTGCTAACCTCAGGGCAGGTGGTTCAAATCCACAAGTCACTCCTTGAAAATCCTATACAGGGTCACTATGAGTTGGAAACGACTCAGTGGCACTAACAACAACAAGCTTTAACATGATTTTTAGGTGAAGAAGAATTACTAAAGAGTTTATGCAGAGGAGAGATATAAATTAGGTCTTCATTTCAGATCATCAAGGGCAGTATCTTGGACAAGAGAATTAAGAGAAGCAAGCATGTAGACAGCTGTCACTGCCCAGGCAGGGAATGATGAAAGGTTGAACTAGGGCAGTAGAAATCAGATGGAGAGGAAGGGTGTGAACCAGAGGTTTCAGCACCCTGGAATGTCTCAGCACCTTTTTCATGTTACGCCCTTGGCCAAAAAGAATTTCAGCCAAACAATAGACAGGTCTATAAGAAGAACAATAATGCTGGCGTCCTGTTATTTGGCTATAGCTATTTGCTTCATGTGAAAATGAGAAAAGCAATGAAAGGTGGTAGTAGAATAAGTCAACTTAATGGCTAAGATTATATACAGCTGTAAAACTTAAGGATCTTTACATTAATGCTATATTTGTATTAACCCTATAATGGAAAACCTAATCCACCCGGTCAAGGTTTCACCCTCTCAAACTTCTGTGACCAACCAAATCTGTACCTGAATCAACCAGGCCACAGATAATCCAAAAGCAAATCCAATGCAGCTGTTACCAAGTCAGTTCTGACCCAAAATGACTCCAAGTGTGTCAGAGTAATCTATGCCCCAGAGCAGTTTCAATGAATGATTTTTTGGGAAGTAGACTGCTAATTCTTTTCCAAGGTGCCTCCAAATGGACTTGAACTGCCAACCTTTTGGTTGGCAGTCAAGCATATTAACTGTTTCCATCATCCAAAGATGCCATTTGAATATACAGGCATTCGAGTATAATTTCCAAGTGTCTATTGAGGATGAGTATATATAAAGGAACAACTTTGCTTCTGAGAAATAAAAAGTTACAACTTTAATAATCAAATTGGACCTTAATGTTCAAAGCAGCTGTACAGCCTCATAAATGCCCTTACTAGTTCTAAGCCCCCTCAGAAAAGGCAGGAGCCAGAGGATGTGTATGGCCCAGGCATTCCTGAATGCAACAAGCAGGTACAAGTTGTTTTCCTTTTTCCTGAAAACTATCAGAATTTTGGTCTGAAAATACAGGATTTGGAACCTTACAAATGTATGCAAGGATAAAGTAAAGACAAAGTCTCTATTCCTTGGGCTGCCTGAGTACCACTCACTACAACCACTGTTAAGACATTCATTTCAAATGTTTCACGTGAGGGCAAAGTTGGATTGCTCGTAAGGCTAGCATTCTTACTTAATACCAGGAAGAAGGCTTATCCTCAAAAGACAGCAATAATGGGAGAGGCAGAGCTAATAATCATCTAAAAGTGCTTAACAGTAAACACTAGAAACAGTAAATATTCTAAAGAGAATTTCCCAGTAAACTCATGCCATTCTTATATTCTCAACTGTTGCTGTTTTTAAGTGTTGTCAAGTCAGTTCCTACTTATAGCGACTCTGTACAGTGTTTCCGAGGAGTGGCTGGTCAGTTTGAACTGCAAGGGTGGCAGTTCAAACTGACCTTGTGGTCCAGTGCTTATCCTACAGCATCATACCAGGACTCCTCAACACAGAAATTTCACTCTGAGCCAAGAGGATATTAAACTTTAAAATGAGAAAACCCAGGCCTTGAAAATAGGGATTCAAACAGGTATTTGTATGTACATCAACATCCACTGCAGCTTTATTCACAGTAGCCAAAAGAAGGAAACAGCCCAAGTGTTGATCAACAGATGAATGGATAAACATAATTTGGTACATCTACATATACAGCTATAAAGAAAGATGAAGTTCTCATACATGCTATGGCATGCACTGACTGAAACATTATACTGAGCGAAATAAGTTACACATAAAAGGACCAATGCTCTATTATTTCACTTATAGGAAATGTGTAGAAAAGGTGAAATGAAGAGATAAGTTTATTATTGGTGACCAGGGTCTGGGCAAGGGAGGTGTAGGGAGTTGTTGCTTAAGAAGTACTGAGTTTCTGTGTGAATTGATGGAAAACATTTGGAAACAGATAATGATGACTGGTTGTAAAAACAAAGAAACAAACAAAAAACAGGGGAATCACACTTATAAAAAAGTAACCAGAAACTTCTAAAGGAATACTTACCAAGACATTTGAAAGGTATAACAATGTGGGTCTTGCACTGTTTTTTGTCCCTCCGGCACCAATTGTCAATACTGACTGGCTGGTTTGCTTCCATAACATTTGTGATCTCTAGCTCTGGGTACATCTGTTAGGAAAAAGAAAACACAAATCATAAAGACACAAACTGATTTTTCAGGTGGACATTTACTTCCAATTAAAGGCCAGGTGTCTAAGTTGACTTAACCTCCAGCTGTATCCTATATAAATTTCTAAATTTCACCCCGCTACTCCTGGTACCAGCTAAAGTGGCCAAATAGAAAAATACTATAGCTATTATTTTCTTTTGACAAGTAAATTTCTACAATTTTCATATAAGAAAAACTGATAAAGACCTGAGATCATCACCTACAAAACTGGTAAGTCTTACACCATTAAAAAGAAAACCTATTATGAATATCATATGTGTTGATTCACATCCATAACAAATGGGAACCCAACATAACTAGGTTCCACTTGCCAAGTTTCCTAAAAGAACTGAAAACTTTCGGTTGAGCAGTTTTAACTATACTATATGTTTAAAAGCAAAAGCCTTGTTGCTCTAAACATTAGCAACTTGGCCTTGAGTCAAAAGAAGAGAATGATAAAACTATCCATGTAAAGAAAAAAGGTTCAACCCTGGCCCAGGAAAATAGGTGGTTCCTACTTTTTGGCAATACTCTTACCTCCTGACAGTACTGAAGACCTTCTTCTTTTGTTCCAAAGCAGCTCTTTGTTCCTGTTGGATCAGGTTCCCATTTCCCAGTCTGAATGTTCACATGCATATTTAACTTCCCACAAAACATTGCAATTTGAGGCTCAGCAACAGCAAATCCCGTTCCAGCATTGGCTGCAAGAGCCTGTTAAAAGGAAAACATTCCAGGTTTGCTTCCAAAGAAATCAGGTACAAGGAAAAGGCCATTCTACAGTTTTTGACAGTATAATTTATCTTTTAAAAATCTTCTTCATTGTTATATTTTTATCTTCATAAAAAATCCTTTTCCAAGGGACTGGACCAGAAAAATGATCAAAGTGGAAGGTCAATGAGAAATCTGGGATTGTTTTAACTTTTTACTACGCTCGATTTGTTTACTCTAATACAAGTAAATCTACTTTCTATCTGTTAATATCTAAAAACCATAAAATGATTGAAAGACTAAAGTTCTGATCATTTTACTTAATTATTCACACAGTAAAATGTTATTAGACTACTAAATTACTATTTGGCAAAGCAATGTGATAAATGCTTAGAATACAATGGTGAGCTAAAACGTATGGCCCCAACTCTGCTGGTGCTTATAGTATATAGCAGGAATCCACAATCACACACACACACACAACACACATAAATGGGTGATCGCATTCTATGACATTCTAAGAAGAAAAAGAGCACAGGGCCAGAAGAGCATATAAAAAAGGCATCTGACTAATCTTGGGTAAGGAAGTGATCAGGGAAATTCCTGTAGAGAGCAACACTTAAGTTGAACAGCTTTGCAGCATGATTCATGCGGAGACAACAGAGATTATGAGGAGTGCACTTATTCAACCTGCATGCTGGGCAAATAATCCGAGAAGCTGGGTTATATGAAGAAAAACGTGGCATCAGGACTGGAGGAAGATTAACAACCTGCGATATGCAGATGATACAACCTTGCTTGCTTAAAGTGAAGAGGACTTATAATACTGATGAAGAAGATCAAAGAGCACAGCCTTTGGTATGGATTGCATCTCAATGTAAAGAAAACAAAAGTTTTCTTTTGTTTTATTTGGACCAATAAACAACATTCTTACCAACTGAGAAAAGATCAACATTGTCAAGGACTTCATTCTTCTTGAATCAACTATCAACACTCACGGAAGCAGCAGTCAAGAAATCAAAGGACATATTGCATTTAGGACAAAATTAAGCACAAGATCTTTTTCAATTGTTGAAGAGCAAAGATGTCAGCTTGAGGACTAAGGTGCGCCTGACCCAAGCCATGGTATTTTCAATAACCTCATATGCATGCG